AGTGAAAACCGGCAATGGATTAAATAATAATATAATGATACAGATTAATTATTTTCCTTTTACTTCTTATTGAAAAAGTTCATTTGATATACATCTAAGGATCTGGAATGAATTAATGACACATAACAAGGTACCAATGGTTTAAACAAAGTCAGTATATAAACTTGTAAAGATATACGAGTGCTCTAAGAAAATTTCAATTTTTATAAAGTTTCACAGATCATAAATAACTCTTAAAAAAGCTGGTAACTAGAATGTATTCTTTAACATATACAAATATTACATATATTAAACACAATTTTAATCACATTTCCAATTATTTCCGCTGCAGATGCTTAACAAAGGAAATGCTGTATTTAAACATATACAATTACTTATTAGCAAAGCATACTTATGATTCAAACAAACAACAAAATTTTACAGCGTATTCTCAAATTTTACAAACTGTAATTGCTGCAATGAGATCAATTTCAATGTTCGTATCTCATGAAAATTATTAAAATGTTTTAATTGGAAATAATTTGAAATTTTATACTTTAAAATGCCATTGATAATTAGCATTTATCATAAAATAGTTGTTACAGTTTTGTGGCATTAATTATACTGGTCCTACCTACTATAATGTCCAATAACATTTCAAATTAAAAAGAAAAAGAACACACTTTTAGAAATCTCTAACATTACTTCTAATTAAAAATTGATGAGCAATAATGAATTAACAAAAGAAAAAAATCTGTTTCCAATTCCTTTTCATTTATAAGGTAAAAAAAACCTTGCAGCATTCTAATTTTTTTTTTTTTTTTTTTAATCTAGCTAATTTTTTTTTAACTTCTTCATTGTAATGTAAACTTGTAATGTAAACAAATATAAATTTAACTTTTGCATTTTAAAAATTATAGGCCACTGCTGGCATAAGATGAATGCCAATGTCGAAGCTTTTCCTTAATAACTGCCTAAAAGTAAAGCTAATATTAATCAAACTTCTGAATCACTTAAAAATTGCACATAAAAGCCTGACAAGTTTTCAAAAACGAATTTCTAACGAATTCACTAAGTACTGCTATAACATCTGCCATTATATTCCCTTTAAAAAGTAGCACTTGTCTAAGGGACTACTCCTTACAGTCATGGAAACCTTAATAAAAAGAAAGACAGTCACAGATATAAATGCAGTTGCTGATAGCAATTTGTTCAGTTTGATGCTTCTAGTCGCTATATATCATTATTATGTGTATCAAAATGCCTGAAGTGTAAGGAACAGCAAACGTCCTTGTTCAATATAAAGTGGGGAAAAATTTTGAAGTCTATTCAAGGCAGGAAGCATGCTCTCATACGGCAGTAACTATTGTTTGGGTAATGTGATATGGAACATACACATGTTTGACCACCAATAAATGTATTGTGAAATACAAAGTCTGAAATTCGGACTCGTCGGGACTTTGGCGATTCCGCATTTGGGGTTTTTTTGGATATTAGATCATCAGTTTAAATCTAGTAAGATGGCATGTAAAAATTATAAAATTAAAAATATGAATTATTTTATGATTTATGAATGATTTATGAAAATCATAATTTTTAAATTTATGAAATAATGAAGTATTTATGATCTAAATAATATCGAAATTTACAAAAAAAGATTAATATCTATTTGTTTACCTTATTAAACATTTCTTTCAATGTAAGTTGTTTAAGTTGCTTCGTTTTTGTGCTAATACTTTCTCTTTAGCTCTGTATACAGACATAGTCTCTTGTTCAGTTACATTGTTGAAACCTTATGTTGAGAATTCTGACTAACTTGTCAATCAAAATGTTTTCGTTTTCAGTAACTTCTCTGTCACTTTCTTTACTATCGGTAATGGTATTTTCTACTTTATTTTATTTACTTTACTATCGGTAATGGTGGAGCCATACTACAGATTTTACCATTCATTAATTGATTAATGATTAAGAAGCATTGTCATCAGAATGAAAAACTTTACATCATCTTCATTTATTACCACTTCTCCATATTTTTTTACAAAATCCCTTAATTGGAAAATTTCACCTTTGTTTTGCGATATCCGAAAACTTTTAAAATTCGAGGCTATCATCTTCAAATTTAGCTATTGTTCACTTTATATATTTGGCTATGCATCATAAGCTTGGCGACTAATGACAAGTTGTTTGGTTAAATTTTATTTGGTTCTACCACACACTGAGACAATTAAGCCTGAACTGTATTATTTTAGTTTAGTTATTTATTATACCTATGTCTATTTCTTGCACATGCTTAAGGTTTATCAGATTTCTGAATAAATAAATTACCACATATATTTAAGCCTTATTGAGGGCCGGTGCTAGATATCTTACCGCCTGATGCAGTCTCTGTGGGTCCTAAATTCTCGGTCCAGTGCGGCCAAACGAGCCCTAGCACTGGTTCTGGCTTTATATGAATAACAATTCAATTATTCTTAATTCAAATAACCTTAAATGTAATCTTTAGGTCTATGAGTATCATCAACAAAATCTATTTTTAGCATATGGAAAGAAATTTTAAATTTTTCCTCGTTAAAATTTTTTAGTGCATTTAATTTAAATCTGTAATCATCGCCAAGCGTAATGTCAGCATAAAAGGTTACCATGCTCCTTTATTATCCAATTACTAATGTAAAAAAAATTGTTTAGGCATCACTACATGAGTTATTACTCAAGTTGTCATGTGTTGATAAACATGCAGTGTGGAAACCATGAGTGCATTTCCTTTTGTACAGATAAGAAATCTTACCCTACACACCTTCTACACTTATTTTTCCAACAATTATGAAGCTATCTGGAATTACAATGGAATTATACCAAAAATTTGAAATTAGTTTTTCCTTAGCAACTGCCTGGTAGTATGAAAATGCATTTTCAGGATAAATAAATATATGTATATGTTTAAAATACTTGAATAATTTCTCAGCAATAACTTATTTCCTAAACAAAATTATTAAAAACTGTGAATCACTACTCAGAAATTTCAACAAATAACACTGTTCACAATGGCCATCAGTAAGAAACTTAAATATGCAATATATGTATGGTTGTCATCTCTCCACATGATACATGACTACTACTTTCATTGCCTGCTTATGTTCTTTGACAGCATCAATATCAAGATACTGTGATAGGACCCATTTTTAAATAAAGACTAAAGAATAAATAAGGAAACTCATCTTCAATTTCATTCTTTTTTTTTTTTTTTTTTTTTTAGCTATTTACAGTTGAAATGTCATTTTTATTAACTTTTAAAAATTGTAAATTTTCTTAATGCTATTATATGGGACAGTTGTAATTTTGATAAAACTGCTGGACAATAAGTATTCATTTTTTAATGACAATAAATGATAAGACCATAAATCCTAAATGTTCAAAAGCTCCAATTACCAACATGCTACAGTCATTTGCTGAGCACACTTTTTTCAGAGCTCAATTTTTTCACGAGCACACTTTTTTCATAATAAGCTACTATTGAAAATTTTCACAATTTGTTGCACTATTTTCATATTATTTGCTTGTTGCTATGATGCCTAGTGAGCTCACTGTTGATGTATAATCATGCATGGATTATGCATCTCATAAATATTAGGTTATCTATTACAAGGTTGTAGTATCATTTATTGGTCATAGGTATTTTTTGGAACTTTTTTACCCCCCCCCAAAAAAAAACAAGAATTCTGAAATATGGAAGGCATCATTAAAAATGAACATGCTACACTGAATGATTTCTGTGGCATGGTCTTACAAAGCAAACTTTATGACACACACTGCACATAAACACAATGTCAACTTCATATGTGCAATGTACTAACTGGAACATAAAGTCATATATTAAGAGTCTACATTACACTACAGTGTCTCTTTAGCAAAAAAGATGGGCACCATGTGAGAATGCACAAATACAAACACGTTCTTTAACAAAACTCACATGTAATAATAACAATAAATATCAAAAATGATAATTCATTACTGCTTGAAACACTCTGCAATTTTAAATAAATTTTTTAAATGATATATATATATATCAGTCAAGATTATAAAAAATTAAAATATATACAAAGTACTTTTTGATTATCTACACTCCCCACCACCAAAACGGTTCAGAAAAGTATACTTGAGGCACAGCAGTTTGTCACCAAAATAGTTATGTGGCAACCCATGAAGTCATCATGTACAAACATTAGGTTATTTTGATGATTTGTAGGAGATGTGAAAAATGAGCAATGCTCTTGGCGGGACTCAAACCTTGGACATCTCGACTACACATCGAGTATGCTTCCAATTACACCATAAAGGCATGCAGAAATGAGGGAGAAAATACCTTATATACTCCCTCTTTTAAAGGGCAACTGGGAATTAAGAGACCCAATCACCAAATCCTGGTGGTTAAGAATCAACATTTAGTTTGGGCGTCACTGTAGAGACATTAGGTTATTTTGATGCAGGAGACGTGAAAAATAAGCATTCCCCTCAACGGGATTCGAAGCTTGGACCTCTCGAATATGCGCCGAGTATACTTCCAATCACCATGAAGGCATGCAGAAATGAGGAAGAAAATACCTTATAACCAAAAAGTATTTACATGGTGCATAACACGTCTCTTTTGCCCAGTCTGCAATCTAGATGTAGTATGATGCCAAGTTTATGCAAATATTGATGTTTTTTAAGCAAAAATATACTGCTTTATATCTGGAGAGATAAAAAACAACATAAAAGATTTCTCAGAAAATGTATTTTATTATAGATGTTTTGCACCTTTTCAATTTCATTGATTTTGCTTGTATGGAATACTAAATGTGACAGCATTTTGAAAACAACCTGTTGCCTTTTATTCACACTTGGCAAAAAATTAGTCATCAATGAGTTTGCAACTTTTTGGTAGCAGATGCAGATAATCTCTTATTATCTGTACTAGTACACTAGAAAGTACAGAAGAACTCTAGAAAATACAGAAGAAAATTCAGATGAAAAACATTTTATACCTTCACAAATAACCTTGTTAAAATCAAAACCATGTGAAGCCAAGAAATGCAAACTGGATGCCTAAAAGAAAATTACGAAAGTAATTAATATGCAATTCACGTTCCTTAAACAGATAAAAAAAAATTAACTTGAAAGTAGAATATTTATACTTTCTTACTTGACACATAAATTTTGGATCTGGTGCTTGTCTGATGTGAGGTCGGGGAAATATATAAAAGTTGAAATCTCTATGCGTATATCTGGAAAGGAATTAAAAACTATAATGCATAGTAGGGTAACATGCAAAAGTAAAAAAAAAAAAAAAAAAAAATGAGAATAAATTTATTAACCCTTCAGCGGTTGAGAGATTAAGCAATCCCTTCTTCCCAAATACACAAAATATCTATCAGATGTAAATTTGAAATGCGAATTGTATTCAACTGCAACAACTGCAGTACATAATTGGAATGTGAGCTAAGCTCATTTATGACCATCAAAAGATTAATTTTGAAATATATTACGTAAAGTCTACACCTTGACATCTACTTTTATTAACAGACATCATTGACTGTTATACATTTGGGCCAATGTTTGTGAAAATCCTAGAATACATGCTGGAACCCATCTTTCAACACTTTTATTAAAATCACTTTAATTTTTTAAAGTAGCCAATGATGAACAGAACAGAGTAGCCTCAAGTTCAAATTCTGGACAAAAGGATAAAAATAGTTGCACAGAACTAAGTGGACTATATGAAATGTGTAGCATACATTTTGCCTTTTAAGCCAAATGTTGGACAATAGAGTTGGAAACATGAAGATGTGCATTATCCTAATATAAGTGTCAACTAATGAAGGCCATTCAGGTCATTTTTCTCAGACATATTAGATCAGGGTATTCAAAAGTGTTCACACAGTGTAGCAAGAATTATACGCTCAGTCCATAGTACAGTGATAAATCATTTTATATTACTCAAAGAAATAACAATTACTTTTCTTGCTGACTTTACAATATAAGCATTCTTTAAAGTAAGAGAAATTGATGATTTTTGGGCAGAACATACCTTTTTGTTTTCAGAATCATAATGATGCAACTAGTACTCATCAGCAGCAATGACACATTTTAAGATGCCTCATCTCTGCTATGGACATGAAATTTCTGATACATTTACAAACAATTAAAGGAACTAAGAATCTTGGCAACTATCTCACACAGGTGACTCTGAAAAACGATAAATGCAGAACATTTATCCTTTTTCATTCAGACAATAATTATCCGCAACCCCCAATCACAAAATCATGAAAACATATTTATGACAGAAGGCAGTATATCCCCTAGTTAAATGGCTATCCAAGAAGTATGTATGTGGTGACCCAGGTATGCATGCAGCACACGTATCTTTATTAGCACTTTTGAATCTGTTTACTTGCAATTGTGGAATTAAATTGTCATTTTTCTGATTGTGTTTTGATAATGATGTCGTATGCCATCAGGTTGTTTATTTTTTTAAATGGCACCAATAAAATTGGTTGCTGTTTTAATTACAGTCAAAAGTCGTTAATCCGGACTCGTCGGGACTTCGGCGATTCCGGATTATCGATTTTTCCGGATTATAGATTATCAGTTTAAATCAGGAAGATGGCATGCAAAAATTACAAAATTAAAAATATGAAACCGTAATTTATGAAATAAAGAACAATTATGATCTAAAGGGTATCAAAAGTTACAAAAAGAAAAAGCTCAATATCTATTTGTTTACTTTATTAAACATTTCCTTCAATGTAAGTTGCTTCGTTTCATGTGATAATACTTTCTCTTTAATTCTATTAAACAGACATAATTTCTTGTTTAGTTACAAAGTTCCGCTGTTCAAGTCCTATAATTGCTGTGTTGAGAATACCGACTAATTTGTCAATCGAAATGTTTTCGTTTTCAATAACCTCTGGGTCACTTTCTTCACTATCGGAAGCGAATTATAATGACGAGGAACTTGATTTAAATCATATCAAAGACAGAATGAAATACTACACTTAGTATGGAATTATAAACCAAATAAAATAAAAACATCTGCCCTGAAGATAAGGATAGTGCTGACAAATCAACTTCCAATCCCCTGCATGAAATTGATAAACAGATTTCGGATCTCAAAACATACTTTCCCTTTGTAGATACAAATTACATATTAGTAAATATATATCGGAAATTCTATTTGACATAATCTTTCTAATCTATCATAATCTAATAATGACGTTTCTGCCCCCCCCCCTCTGCCGCAGAGCAGCGTGAAATTGATAAACAGATTTCGGATTTCAAAACATACTTTCGCTTTGTAGTAAATATATATCGGAAATTCTATTTGACATAATCGAAAGTTCAAGCTTACTTTTATAAAATTGCTCTAACAGTCTGCAAAAAATAATAAGCCGGATCCAATTCGAAGATTAAGGAACAACGCAATCGGCAACATTAACTGAATTAGATAACTTTAGCTTAGCGTGTAACTCCGTTACAATTTAAACGCGCATGCGCACAAACATATTCGCAGCCGTAAGGGTCTTACGCGCTCTCGTAAACACCTGTGCGCATGCGTGAACGCAACGCATGCGCAGAAAGTTTGTAGCTTTGAGGTCCGGATTATGGGTGTCCGAATTAACGACTTTTGACTGTATTCCTTTTTCACACATTCAATCATTCATTTTCTATTACATATTCAAATATAAAAAGCTATCCTTTTTTTAAAAAAAAAAATTTTATGAAGCTGATACAGCAAGGTTACTACTCATAAACTAGCAGGAAATAATACCTGGCTTAATTATTATGAGAGACAAGTAATTTTATAAGGATATGATCATATGGATATGATAATCAAACTGTAAACTATGAAAAGAACTTAGTTAATCCTGCAGACAGTACTAATACAACTGAATCATGCTGGGACATTCTGAAGCTAAGCATTCTCTGCAACATGCAAAATATCCCACCACAACAAATGCTTCCACATTATCTCACAGAAGCATAGCAGAAATCTTTTAAGAGAAATGATGAATATTATTTGGCCATGCTCTTTTATATACATCAGGTATACAGCTGAATGATTCTCAAAAACAGCTCTTTTTACGGCCTTACAGTTTGTAAAACTGAAAGGAAGTTATAGTTAATTTAATTAAAAATTAAATTGATTAGTGGAATCATATTCATTTATGTATAGGTAATTATGTGTATTTATTTTCATATTTAAAAATTGTGTTTCAGTGGTACCTTGTATGAAATAAGTAATTAACTAAAAGTGGTTACATCAATAAAAGTGTCTTTTCTTAAATTGAGGTTCCCCCCCCCCCAATGACTTGTAACCAAAATCTGGAGTTCGACATCTGATGAAAAAGAAAGTATATTGCTTCTGGAATACAGTGTTTTGGCCAACAATTACAGAATGCATAAATCCACATTGTATGAAGTTGTAACCGAATTTTATAAATGTAATATGAAAAATTGCGAGCAAACTGTTAAAATGTTGGTCAGATATTGGTTAAAAGATAGCCATACCTTATTTACAGCAGCTATTTAATTTATGTGTTGCTGGCCCACGTGCAACACTAAAGTTGTGCATATTGCCATACTTGAGTAATTCTCTGATTTTTTTATGGAAAACAACAGCACAAAAAAAAATTACAAAAGGATTTCTTGAAAAAAGTAAGTTTTTTATTAATCACATTTCTTGCTTTTTAAATTTTATGAATTGATTGCTTCTTTATGGAATTCTTAGTGCACCACCATTTTGGAAGTGAATCTTGACTCTGCGCACATTAGTTTAGTGGAATATTAGTTACCAGATAGTTCATGATTGCTCTCAGAAGTCACCAATGAATTCACGACTTTTGGGTGAAGATTAGGATAAACAGAAAATACCGAAATATGTTAACATCTCTGCCACAGTCATTTTCTACAGCAATGACAACAGTTGGTTCACAATGTTAACAAAAGCACTAGAATCACTTTGCTTTGGAAACAAAACATGGCCTTTCTTAAATTAACAGACTTGCAATGCTGTTTAACATGGTAAAATAGCTTTGCCATATACTTACTGCGAGATCTCATATTCTTCTGTATAATTTTAAAACTTCATACTGCTCATCACAAACAGAATTTATTTTCTGCAGGCAAAACAGAACTCATCATGTATTTGCATTTTATTCCAGCCAAACACACTACCAGATTTTCTAATAATGTTTTTCCTTGAGCTAATGATAAAGAGCTATTTCTGAAGATTTATTTTGCTGCTGAATATAAGCATATTAAATAACTTTATTCTCACTTTTTTTTTTTCTAGTAACCATCGTAAAAAGTGTGTAATTAAAAAACTGCAACTTACTTCTTTTGTGCAGGATGATACTTGAAAGTACTCAAGCCAAACTGAATGATAAGAAATTTTGAGCAGTTCTACAAAAAGCAAAATAGTAAGTAAAACAGCAATTAAAACACTAAACAACTCAAAATAAGCTATCACAATTTAGGATTTCTTTGTGCTATTCAGATTATTCTCTTAATGCAAAAGAATGTTTTACATGCTGCAGAAGCAAACACTAGAAAATACCTGTAATAGAGATATTCCTGCCTCCAATGTCAATAACTCATCTTTCATTCTAAAGCACCCTTGCATAGGCATAACATGATATTTCAGTTAATTATGGAATTAGCTGTTGTAGAGATGCTTCAGCCTCATAAAAATGAAATTATGTTTGATTTTGTAATTATATAGTAAATGTAATGTGTAAATAAATGTGTTTTTTATTCCACCCAGGAGTTTTATTTCTTGTGTTACAATTAGAACGTGAAATGAAAGAAAGTTTCACTTCTGCCAGTGGCAACAAGGAGTTGAAAAATGAACTGGGGAGGGAGTGGTCGCTCATTCGGTTTCTCTTGATAGAATTTGATACGAAGGGGGAATAATCCCCATCTTTTGATTTGAAATCAATCTTGAATTATGTATATATTGTAATATAAAAGAGGTGTGAAAATAAAAGGTCATTAAGACTTAACTGAAGTAGTGATTTGAATTGAAAATTGAGAAATGGAAAGTTCTGCCAAACAGAACTTGTGGATTAGAAACAACATTTTTAGTGGTGCCTTCACCAAGGAACTTTTGGATTAGAATCGATGGATTACCTGTGAGCAGGTAAGCAATTCCGTTTTTTCTTTGAAAATTTCTTACGTTTGATTACTCAATTTTAAACATGGAAGCTTTAGACAAACTGAAGCAGAAACGCACGAACGAACACAGTAGCGTTACAAAATTAATTAAATAGAATCTTTGTTACCATAAAATGTTGAAAACACAAACATTGAGGAATTGCAGGAGATGAATGAAACAATTCTCGAAAGAGAAAACACGTTAAAAATGTTGAATTCACAAATCGAAACTCAGTTAAAAGATGCTAAAAAATTTGAAAAAGATATTTCTGCAAGTGATAAATACAATGAACAAATTATGCCTGCAAAATTTACAATTAAAATAAAATTGAATAAATGTAATGAAAATTTGTCTGTGAAAAATGCATCAGATGGAAACAAATTCTTTGAACACATCTGTTTCTGAAATAAATGTATTGTTATCGGCTATGAAATTGCCAATGTTACATATTCCAAAATTTTCAGGAAATGCAGGAAAATGTTTAGAATTTTTTAACAGTTCTCAAGCCGCGATTGATCAGAATAAAGCGTTAACCAAGATTGAAAAGTTCATATACTTGAAATCATTATTGATAGGGCAAGCATATAATGTCATTGAAGGATTTTAGTTAACCGAACACAATTACGATTTGTGCTTAGAACTTTAAAAAAAAAAACGCTTTGGAAAACCAGATAAATTTATAAAATCACATATGAATAATCTTTTGGATATAGACCCAGTTAAAAATTCTAACTTATATGCACTAAGAAGACTACACAACGCTTGTGAAATACACATTTGAATCTTACGAAATTTAGGAGTAACTTTGGGTTCGTACGGGCACTTGTTAAATCCGATATTATTGAAATTATTGCCTCATGATTTGATTCTCGAATATCACTGAAAGCGTGATCCAAAAGAGGAATCCGATGTTAAAGGTTTAACTGCCTTTTTGAAAAACGAAATTGAATGCCGCAAACAAACATACACAGTTAACAAACCGCAACCGAAATTCGTTAAATTGAACGGAAAGAATAAGCCTTTCAACAAACACAAAAGTAATTTTAAATACACAAACAATACGTTTAAAGTTAACCCCTCGTCGGTGGCAGAATTATTAGCTCCCGTAAAACAAGAAAATTGTATTTTTTGCAAAAATAACACACATAATAGTGAAAAGTGCAATATGAGTGTAAATGAGAAACAAAATGTACTCAGATTACAAGGTAGATGTTATATTTGTCTGGCTAAAGGTCATAGATTGTCAGACTACTCCGAGAAAAACTCTTGTGTATACTGCCACAAAAAACATAATGCAACTCTTTGTTACAAAAATGAAAAAAAAACCCGAAGCATCGCAATCAAAAGGTGTAGAAAATTCAGCGTGCAATCATATTAGCATTAGTAGGAATAAAATATTTTTACAGACGACGACAATAGAACTTAAAAGTATAAATAAATTAGTTCATTGTTTATTTGAAAGCACTAGTCAACGCTCGTATATTCAGAGACGTATGTCTAAACATCTTGGATTAAAAGTTGTGGGAAAAGAAGAAATAATAATTCATACTTTCGGATCTCAAGTGTATACCAAACAGAACTGTGCGTGAGTGGAAGTGAAAATGAAAAACATTTTCGATAACCAGGAATTAATTATTCAGGTTGTTGTTGTATGCTGTTTGGTATGACTGATGAAATATCGAATGCTGAACTAGACTATCCTCCGGAAAACATTAAGCAGTTGTTAAAAGATAGGGGAATAATTTTAGCGGATGTTGATCACGAATCTTTACATAACAACAATGTATCTTTGCACTTCGGAAATTAGTAAAGGACAAAATTGAACACTTGAACTCAACATTAGTTACAATTGAAACCAAAATGGGTTGGATTTTAATGGGAAAACTGTTTGATCACATTGGAGATAGCGGAAATGTGACTCATACCGTCGCAGTGACTTCTTTATTAATTCACACATCGAAGAATGAAAATTTGTGGAAATTAGTTTTATTGGGTATTCGAGACCCTGTCGAAACAAAATGCAGAAAGGAAATGGAAATTGCCACATTGAATCATTTTAACAAAACTGTTACCTTTAACGAGGGAAGACATGAGGTTCAGTTGCCTTGGGTAATAGAAAAGGACTGTTTAATTCAAAATTTCGATATTACTAGACAGCGTTTAAACAGTACGACACACCGGTTGACACAGAAAGGCAAATTTGAGGATTACGAAAATGTTTTCACAGATTGGTTAAATAACGGAATTATAGAAGAATTCCCTGAACACGAAATGAATAATCAGTGGCATTATTTACCACATAAAGAGGTATTCAAAGAAACTTCGACCACGAAACTGCGGTGTTTGATGCTTCCTGTAAAGACAAAAATTCGCGCTCACTTACTGATTGCTTAGAAAAGGGTCCAAATTTGCTAGAACAAATTATTACTATAATTTTAAGATTTCGCAAGAATAAAATAAGAGTTATTTCAGACATAAGAAAGGGATTTTTGCGAATACCAGTGAATAAGTGTGATCTAGATTTCTTACGATTTTTATAGAGGAAAGACTTTGACAAGAAAGAACTTAGTTTTTAGACATAAACGTGTTGTTTTTGGATTGAATTGCAGTCTTTTTTTATTGGCTGCTAAATTAAGCCATCACATTGATTTAACTTCGTCTAAATATCCTGAAACAGCGGAAAATTTAAAAGAATCATTCTATGTAGACAATTGCATCACATCTGCTCCTGATGAAGAAACACTCAGTCGATACATCGAGGAATCGAAACAAATATCAGATTCTGCGTCATTCGATCTGAGAGGGTGGGAGCACACTTCTTTGAAATCTGAAGACAGTGTAGAACCTACAACTGTGTTGGGAATTTTGTGGGATAAGGTAGATAATAAGCCTTTTCTGTGAGGTGAAGACTTCTACTGACAAACCAGTGAATCTTACAAAAAGAAATATATTGTTTGCGGTACATCGCATTTTCGACCTCATGGGTTTTCTCTGCCCGATAATGCTAACAACACCTAAACTACTGATAAAAAAGGCATGATTGTTAAAAATTGGTCGGGATACAAATATATCCGAAGACTTAGGATAAGAGTTCTATTTGTGGATTGATGATTTGTCATTTTTATCCAGTATTAGAATTCCAAGGGCTTTATATATAAAAGGAAATGAAAGTCTTAGTCTTCATACGTTCTGTGACGCAAGTAAAAAAGCCTATGGATGTGCGATTTATTTAAGAAAAGAAACAAGTGAAAATGTAGCGGTGTATTTTCTTCTAGCTAAAAGTACAGTCCATTAAAAAAAATGACCATAAATTGTCTAGAATTATTAGCCTGCTGTATAGGAGTCAGACTCGCAGCTCTTGCTTTACAAACACTCAAATTAAACAACGTTCCTAGGAACTATTGCACAGATTCGAGTACTGCTCTTTCTTGGATCCAAAGAGATGACCATTAAGCGCCATTTGTCGTAAATAGAGTAAAAGATATACAAAAATTGTCATCGGAATCTGAATGGCGTCACATTCCAGAAAATTTGAATCCAGCAGATATACCATCACGAGGGTGTTTGATTAAGAGTTTTGTGAAATCTTGCTGGTGGCAAAGGCCAGAATGGCTTATGAAGAACGATGAAGAGTGGCCAACTAGTGAAGTGATTACTAACGAAGAAGAAATTATGAAAGAAAAGTGAAAGAACATTATTTTGATTATGGCTAATATCGCCGCTGAAAAATGGTATCAGATTTACTTTTCAAGTTACTTCAAAATTGTGAGAATGATTTCTTGGATTCTAAGATTCATAAATAATTGTAGACATGGAGGAAGAAATTATGGCAAAACCCTGAATGTTGAAGAATTGGACATTGCTGAGAAGAAATTAGTGAAGATCGTTCAACAAGACGCATTCTCTAGTGAAGAGCAGTTGAAGGGGCATTTTAATTTCAGAGATGAAGAAAGGATTATAAGATTGAAAACGAAGATTTTGAGAAAACATGACAATGAAAACTTCTGGTGCCCCATTGTACTTCCATTCAAACATGAGTTAGTACAAAGAATGATACAAGACTACCATTTACAACTTTTACATGCTGGTACTCAAGTTCTTTTGACCAATATTCGTCAAAAATTTTGGAAAATAAAAGGAAGAAAAACAATACGAGAGTCAAATCGAAGTGCGTTCAGTGCAAAAGACACTCGGCGAAAGCTTTTGATACAGTGCCTTGTCCTCTCCCAGAAGATCGAGTCAGAGATGCTTATGCAGTTGAGGTGACAGGTGTTGATGCAGCAGGATCACTTTATTTAAAAGAAAATAGAAAAGCTTGGATCTTGCTTTTTACCCGTGGAGTTTATCTTGTGGTTCATTTAGAACTAATTGAAAACTTATCTACTAATGGATTCTTCCTCGGATTTCGAAGATTCGTAGCACGAAGAGGACGACCTAAAATAGTATACAGTGACAATGGCACAAATTTTGTAGGGGCCAGGAATTTACTCCGATCTGTTGACTGGAACCAAACTATCAGAAATTCTTCGACAATGAAAATTCAATGGAAGTTAAATCCACCAACCGCAACATTGTGGGGCGGCTGGTGGGAGAGACTGGTTCAGATGATCAAGAAAGTATTCAGAAGAGTCCTGGGAAAAGCATTACTGTCATATGATGAAATGTTAACTATCCTATGTGATGCAGAAGCAAATATCAACTCCAGACCATTAATATACGAATCAGAAGATTCCACCGATTTATGTGCACTCACTCCATCTATGTATATTCAGGATGTTCGAACTGAAGGTGTTCCAGATCTGGACAGTTTGGATAAAATCAATTTATTGAAAAGATGGTGATACCACCAAAAGTTGTGTGTGGAATTTCGTAAAAGATTTGGAGATGAATATCTTGGACTGTTAGTACATCAACCAAAGACCGTACCTTCGCAAACCATCAAGAAATATGATTTAGTGGATAGAAGGAAAAGAACAGACTGGCCCGTGGGTCGTGTAATCGAAACATACCCAGGAAAAGACAACAACATCAGAGTGGCTAAAGTAAAAACATCTAGTGGTGAACTGCTAAAACCAGTTCAGAGAATATTTCCAATGGAAAGAGACAATAAAGAATCTAAATTCGAGCTTAAAACTACTGAATCACATCCACATCTTCGAGAAATACTCATAAAAAGAATGATTTAGTAATTAATACCTAAGACTGTGAACTTGACAATTCTGATAAAAACATTTAGTTTAGTAGATATGGCAGAAAAATTGTGAAACCAAAGAACTTCAATTGGTTTAATTTTGTTTCCAATACCACTATTATTTGTTTTCTTTATTCTTTTCTTTGAATTTAAATTTTGTACACAATTTGATTTTTCCAGTTTAGTGATCTAATCTCTTTACTAGTATTTTTCAGAAAAGAATTTTTTCCCTGTTGTTTGAAGAATGTAAGTTTGCAGAATATTAAGTAAGTTTAAAATATTCAAGATATTTGTTATGCCTAGATAAAAATGTTAATTTTGGTAAGGTTTAAATTACTCATCTTACATTCTTATTTCAATTTTCATTTCACAATTGTTTTGATTTTTTCATACTTTGTCAAAAATCAAAAGGTGGGAGAAATGCTACAGCTCGAACGCGAAATGAGCGAAAGTTTCACTTCTGCCAGTGGTAACAAGGAGTCGAAAAATGAACTGGGGAGGGAGCGGTCGCTCACTCGGTTTCTCTTGATAGAATTTAATATGAAGGGGGGATAATCCCCATCTTTTGATTTGAAATTAATCTTGAATTATGTATATATTGTAATATAAAAGAGGTGTGAAAATAAAAGGTCATTAAGACTTAATTGAAGTGGTGATTTGAATTGAACATCGAGAAATTGAAAGCTCTCCCAAATAGAACTTGTGGATTAGAAACAACATCTTGTTTAAAATGAAAATTACATGGTCATAATTTGCTATAAATCTGCCACTTCAGCTCATAGCCTAAAATCATGAAATTTAATTTCAATTTGGACATGCTTGCTGCTTATCATAGCCATCACTCAGTTCAGTTATGCAATTGTTTTCTCTTAAGAGCTAAGCTTTTAAGAGCTTAAGTAATTCAGATTTGATTTTGTCCTGAATGTTAATCTTATTATGACCCCTCTGATTACTAATGAAAAATTTGGTTAATGTAAATGCAATTTATGATGCATTTTGTAAATGCAATGTAATGTGTTTTGTAATGTAAATGCAATTTATGATTTATTTTTTATTTTATTGACTAAATTAAAGGTTTGTGCATGCAGATGTTACTTTCATTTAATGAAGATTTGACATATCAACATTAACAATTAGCTTTAGAAAAAGAATAACCTGTCACAACAAAGATGGACCATACAAATATCCTTTCACACAGATCACCATCTTCATAGGAAGTTGCCAACATAAAGGATTATGAAACCCTAAATGATGACAGTTCCTCACTGAAGTAATAAATCACAGCCAGATGAGAAGAATGCAAAACAGATATCCCTCCCTCATATGATTCATCTCAAAAAAAGGAATTTGATAGTGTTAACTGTATTTGTAATTATTTTGTAAATATGTAAATTAACTCTAACTTCACCTTCACCTGGAAATTTCATTTTATCAACAAAATATGAATCACATGAGAATAACTTGTCACATACTAATAACAAATGTATTTCATAGCTATCTGAACAGAAGTTTCCTAAACATAAGTTATGCTTTTCATCTTAATATTTATTTTAAAAAATTTTTTTTTCATCATACAAAGATATCAAATTCCACAAAATATTACATTATTGAACGCTGATTACAAATTATGTTAAAATCAGAATATAAAGAGATAAATATTCAAAAGTAAACATAATCTCTCCTATTAAAATTATTAAACAACAGCATACGTTCATCACATTATATGGAGACATAAACTTAAGAGCCTTAAAATCAGAGTAAAACTTATGCTAAAAATCAAAATGAGGAAAACATGTTCAATCACACTAAATATTACAGTGGATTACACATATTACATAGATTATACTAAATATTACAGTGGATTACACATATTACATAGATTTGAAATCAAAATTGTGAATAAAAATGTAAAAAGCTAAATGCATAATAACAGCAATATCGATAAATTTACAAAAGAATAGTAGAAGAATTGATAAAAAAACTGAAACCCTGAAGACAACAATTTTCACAGAAAATTATTATACAATAAAATAAAAATTTAAGTCAATAATATAAAGAAAAAAATTACCAAGAAAGCTTAAAACGAAACAGTTTTTGGTAAAATACCACATACCTGGAAGTAATGGATAGCTTCAGCTTTATTTTTCAGCGAATTTAACAAATTTCAGCAAATGTGATGCAAAATGCAATAAACATTAACACAAGATGAACAAACATTGTCCCAACAGCTTTCCACAGGAAAAAATGGTTACCAAAAAATTATGCATAGAGATTGCAATTCAAGCCTAGTATTGCTGCAGATATTGATTGATATAAATACATATCACAGAAAAGCAGTCATAGGGGAGAGGGTATAATAAGTGGTGCATCAACAGATAAGGGATAATTTCTAAGAATTCTGCCATTCATTAGGGATATGAATTAAAAGCAAATTCAGCTAACAAATAGTCTCAGGAATGTACCCCATTCACAACTCGCCAACTTTCTGTATTTTATTTTTAAGAAGTTTTCAAGCAGCATCATAACAAAAATGAAAAAATTAATAAATCATTAAATTCCAAAAGCTTAGTAACAAAGTGAAAGAAAATATAAATTAGTGTATAATACGATTAAATAATGCATACATAGTTTCTCGCCAACTTTCTGTATTTTATTTTTAAGAAGTTTTCAAACAGCATCATAACAAAAATGAAAAAATTAATAAATCATTAAATTCCAAAAGTTTAGTAACAAAGTGAAAGAAAATATAAATTAGTGTATAATACGATTAAATAATGCATACATAGTTTCAAAATACAGACACAAAACTACTTATACAAGCATACACAGATGTGACGATATTTTACAATTACCAACACCACTTCAGGGCTTGTGAACTTCATTGCTAGACTATGGAGATGGACAATGTGGTTCCAAGTTAAAATCAAAGTCACCAAATAATGTTTTGAAGATTTTTCTATATGACCAACAATTACATGATTTTGTTTTTTGATGGGTGATGTGGTCAATTCAAATAGATAACATGCATTTCAATACATGCATTAATAATTTCAAAACATATAAATATTAAAATAGTTTAATTACTACATTCAGAATGATGAAACATAAAGATTTTAAAGTTTTACATATATCCACAGGAAAACATATAAATTTAAATGCAAAAGTTATTAGAATTAAACTTGAGACATAGAACATATTTTCAGATTTTAAAATATACAGAGAATATGATGAAAATAAATATATTTTATATATTTGTGTTAATTTTCATTCACAGTAAAAACAACTCTAAGATCAATAGCAAATAAAATGAAAACAATATTCATAACACAACATTTTAACACCTCTTAGAGGTGCAAATTGGAGATTATCAACATAATCTGAACAGAACAATCATTTATAGAAGTCTCATAAAAGAGACAATATTTGAAAATACAATTTGAATTTTTTGAATAAGCTCTGAAAAATACAATCTAAAACAAATGAACAGATGATAATGATGCAGAAAATTTTATACTTTTAACAGCAAGGCCTGAATAATTAATTTAAAATATTAATACCTCACGTAGCTTTGAATATCTCTCAGGCATGGTATCAAAAGCATGCTCAGTAACTTGTGTGCTTAAACCTAAAAATATATAAATACATTAATAAATAAAAATGTAAATATCAAATAAAAGCAAAAGAAACATAAAATATGTATTGTTGCTTTACAATAAACGAATTCATCAACAAATTCTAGAAATTCATGAGTTCAAATTGTATGATGTAAGTTGCATTTTTTCTCCGTTTTTTAAAATAAAGAATGAAGTTTTGTGTTCTTTTTGTTGCCTTCCAAAATCTTTTAGAAACAAATTGTGATACTTTATTCCTTAAACTTAGTTTCAAATATGTGCTTGTAAAATTTGCCAGAAATGGAAGAAACTGTGATAAAATTTCTTTAGGAACACAGAATTTTGATGCAAAATCTCTTAAGACAACAAGGAGATGCATTTTATAGATAGCGAATGTTACCGGAGTTTGCATGATGCCATATTCATGCAATTTTATGATGTATTTTTAAATGTAAACAGATGGTTGTGTATTTTGGGAGAATAACACAGAAAATTACAGAAGAATTTAGAAAAAAAGATGTTTTATTTTTTAAAGTATCACATGATACATATTAAATAAATTTGGTATTTAAATTTACTGAGGTGTTTCCTTTTCATATGTTGATAATGTTTGCCAACTTGCAATAACTATCAACAGTTTAAGAATCTCTTTTTAAAAAAATTCACAAAAACGAAAAGCTTGTGCTAAGTAACTTTCCTCTCTTCACCTGTAAAAAATCGCCATAGTGCAAAGATGATCATATTAACACATAAGTACCCTTTTTTCTCTTCTAAAACGTTAACAGTATTTAAGCTAATGCCACCTGAAAAAGAACCCACATTTTTCCCCCCCTCCTAAAAGCATGGAATTCTGCATACTCAGCAAAGTACAAAATTAACCATCAAATGAAATAATTTATTGAGATACAAAGTATTTGTAAATGTAATATGAAGAATTGCAGGGAAAAAGAAAAAGCCTTCATACTGTAATTGGTTTTATGGATCCAGAATTTCATTTCTTTGCCACTCTGCACTTCAGATTATGTTAGGCTGATGAACTATCAGATGGTGCAACAAACAGTTAAATATGGGTGAAAACAGAGCGATTGGAATATTTATACGGCAAAAGTTAGTTGCTTGTTTTTGATTAAACATTCAAAAAGTAAAATTGGTGGAGCTGGAGAAAATCGTTAAGACTGACGAAAATCTATTCCTCAAGCAAAAGGACAATAGGGACAGAATTTTGCTGGAGTAATCAGATTTGGGAGGAACCTGTAGGAAACAGAATGAATGTTTCCCAGGGCGAATACTAGAAAGACGCAAAACGTTAGTGGAGATAAAAATAGATCAAATACAAAAAGGAATTTGGATTGCTACCAGAGTGATGAATTAGAAAAGACTGATTTTCAAAATTTAACAGTGAACCATAAATATGTGGATCAAACATCCAATACAAATACATAGAAAGTAAAACAAATCTGGAGTGCTCCAAAATGGCAAAACAAAAGGCAAAGAACAGCTCACTTCAATATTTGAATTCATATTTAGGAGAATTTATGTAAAATTCATATGATTCTATAAAAGCAGCAATTACTAAATTATGACTTCCATATAAATAAATGAATGTTATCCCCCCCCATATACTAACACCTTGAGATTTTTCTTTTCTAAAATTATTTCTTTTCTTGAGTTTTTTTTTTTTTTTTTTTGTTGTTGTTGTTGTTTTTGCCAAATAATACTATTAAAATTTGTTTGTCTATCTGTAGCATCATCTCTTCCGGATAGGCTGGGAGTTGATTTTGAGAGTACTTCTGGGTTCCAAAAATTCATGGGAAGCCATTTCAATTATTCTTATCTTTGTATAACTTTCATCAGATGAAATATTAACTAAAAACTCTCAAAAAGCTAATTTTTGCACTCTGCAAGTTCCTTTTTTCACTGAACTTCACTGTTGTTCGAGGTGGAATTTTTAAATTGTTATCAGTCTTTTCTAAACAGAGCAATTTCTTTTTTTCTTTTTATGTAATAGAAGTTATAAATTTTGGTTTGGCCACAGCCTGTTCATTTGGCAGGCTTGCCCATTAGTTATTTTTAAACAGTGCTGACAAATGTGATGGTTACTTTCAAAGGAAAGTACCAAAAGAAATTTCTAGGTACAATTTTCAAGATTTAAGACAATACCTGTATAGGATGCGAAATATTTTTTTCACATAACATTTCATACTTTTTTTAGAAATATTCGTGATGAGAAACGATACTTTTCTGTCAACTGCGAAAGCTGATGGATATACCACCAATACTGCATCAACAATCATAGTGGAAGTTTGAAGGAACATTTAGCTGTCTATTTAGTTAGCTAATAACAAATTGCTCTATATTTAATTAGATGATCAACAGATACAAGTTCATGAATTCATATAAATTTACTTAAATATGAATCTAAGCAATGTCATGTAGTTTTGTAATGTCTTTTTTTTTTTTTTTTTTTAAACTATTTTGATGAAATGTGGGTACTTTTCCGTTTTGCTGGCGCAGGCGATAAAGTCACCAATAATGGTACAACTGATGCCAAATGGTATATCCTTGCTGGTAACCTTTTATGCCTCATTTTCAAAACAAGTTGCAGCCATTTCTTATCAGATTGATTGTTTCTTTCAATACTGGCATACAATTACATAGCATGTTTACCAGATAGTTCCATTTTTATGCCCTAAGGCCATTCGAAGGTAATTAAGGAAATTTGGATGCAATCACACCACTCGAGAATGCACTAGCGAAGTAAAGCACTGCGGTTTTACATAATTTCTGAGTAAGCTATTCGTACGAATTGAAATAATTCTTGCATTTAAACTTGTATTCCAAATTAAGATTTAACTTAAAATTAATGTAGATAATTACTGAGAGAATTAGATTTTTGTAGCATAGTTTACGCAAGATGAGATCACTTGGGATCATGTGATATGAACCGGCGAATCAGGATGTTGAACCATGAAAGCACAGTAATTCTTAATTTAATGTCTTTTTACAAATTTATTGTCTTTATTTATTGGCTTTTTACAAAATTTTAAACGATATTAAAAAGTTTATGCATTCAAAAGGAAAAAAATCTTAGAACTAACATTTGTTAACATATTTTATGTGTATACTGTATGTTGTCGCCAATAAAGTCTGCTTGGCGAGATTTGCACCAGCAAAACGGAAAAGTACTGAAATGTGCAGTCTTTTAATGTTTTATTATGTGCATCCCCATAATCAGTCTCACAACTTTGAAATTATTTAACTACAACTTTCACACTCCTTGCAATTCTGCAGAAATCAGATCCCAAATATTAATTCTTTTATCACAATATAAAAGAAAAAAAGATAAATAGTTGTTAATTTATAACTTCTTTGCATCTTGTATTACTGGGAGCCAATGCATTCTGCTATTTTTACGCTAAACAATAAGCAACTCCTCCTCACTTCTACTCATCCACCTTTCTGTGAATTTATCATAGCTTTTTACAAAATCTAAATTTACACTCTTTGTATATCATAAAAGAAGTTAAATAATCAAACTATAGATGCTAGCTAATTTTATTTCTAAGCCCTGCCTACTAAATTAGCAATGCTTTGTGCACACCATGTTTCGAACATTTTGTGAAATTTGATAGTACATATTTATGTGAATTGTGCATGGTGCAAAAAATTAGCATAATTCGGCCATTTAAAAGTAATAGCAAAGGCTCTAGTTCTTAATCAGTGTGTTCTGACATCATGCTTATCCACTACTGGTGATAAATTGCACTATTTGACAACACAGTTGAAAATGCTTGACTACAAAATACACAAGTACCTAAAAAAAGTACAAAAAAGGCACACCTCAGTAAGAGATATTTTTGAAGTAAAAGATATATCCTATCATTAAAATAACCCCACAGTTTTATGCATTTTAAGACAATTTTGGTTACAACAAACAAATTGCAATTGTTACTCAACTTCCCAATTACAAGAGCCCACACAATATAACAACAGACAACTAAAAGAAGTATGTGTCTGCAATGATAGCACAACTCTGCAGTTTCAGATATTCTATAACATAAACTTTTTATTTAAAAAAAAAAAAGAAGAAATTTTGTTATGAAAAGGCTTTTAAAATTAGTATTCAAACTGATTAAAAATTTAAGTATTCTATTTCATTATTATAACATATAATAAAAAACAGCAGCATCTATATTCAAATATTCAAGATATAAATACATGCACGATAGAAATTCGAAAAATACATCAGTTTTACCTGTGAGTTCTGTATCTATTGCAAGGAAGGTACATTCCGTTATGGCCTCTTTAATTGCAGGCAGAAGTTCAGGAAAATCTAAAATAACATAAAATAAATGAGCGAAATGCAGATGACATAAAACAGAGGTTTGTAAATTTGATCTTTCAACCTAACAAGCTCATTAAGTTTCTTAAGAGATTACTTTGATTTATTCTAAAATCTGCTTAAAATTCCTTTGATACTAATATAATCTCAGAAAAGCTTTATTGCTAAATCATGAACAGCTGCCAAATATGGCAACTAATAATAATAAAAAAGTCATTAAGCATTAAGATTTTCAGTAAAAACAAACAACTACATGATTTTGCTTTTTGAAATATGGCAAGGTCAATTTAAAGGGATACACTAACACAAAGAAACTTAGATTATTATTCAGCATTGTTGAAACCCTTGTTATGATAAATAAAAGAATGAACAAATAAATAGTAAGAAATATCATCACTACCAGATATCAGAAGTTCATAATGAAGATTTACTTTTAACACAGTACATCAATATACAGTAAATAATAATCAAAAATAAAATTTGGTTATATTATATGCTCCTGAGGTAACATAGCATTAGGAGTTTAAAATATATTATTTAAAATATACATCTAATACAGTCTTTAGCCAAAATATGATAAATAATATATCTTTTACTTTCCTTAAGTACTATAATATTCATAGTGTAAAACAAAGCATGAGACTGCATGTTTTACCAATAGAACTAATCAAAAAGTAGATAAAGCATTCCATCCTACTGGTTCATGAAGTTTTACAACCTGCTTTTCAAGTTATTCAGAAAGAATGTGAATATCAAGTTTGAACAGTAATTTTTTACAGTTTTATCTGATAGTAAATGCTTCTTGAGAGTATAATAGTAGATACTTCTTAAAACAATTTTTGGTACTTTCTGATTATCTGCATCCCCAATTTCAACACTTAGTAGAATTCTCATATTTTTCAATATACAAGCCACAACAGACCACAGCTTTTAATGCTTCCTTTTTTCATACTTAAATACTTTTTATACTTATACTTGGCAATCATTTCTATCCTAGCAAACATTATTGAAATACTGTGTATAGAAATAACTAAGAATCCAAATGACTGCTATTGTTTAAACGTCAAAAAGAAAACTTATTTAGAAACAATTCTTTGGTATATCTACGAATGCAGTTTTACCATGTATTGAAGACTTAGCCAAATGTTCCCATTACTGGATGCACTTGTTTATTTTTACATTAAGATTTAAATCTTGCATGAATATTTGATACTGCAAGATGTTTCTTCAGCATTTCTCAAGAGTTAATTTTTTTATATATATACATAAGCATTAATGCTGATATTGTTGCCTCACATAAATGCACAAGGTACAGTGCAAACACTAAAATCCAGATATCCAACATCCAGAACAATTTAAAATCTGGACTCCGAACCACCAGTATTTTTTTTTTTTTTTAGAATATTTTTTTGTGTATGTTTACATACGTGCATTTGATACATTTTCTTATAAAACATATGAAGTCTTGATTCTTAACTTCTTTTCAGCACTAAATAAAATATCTCCATATTAAAGAAACAATTATTTACTAGCATAAATCTGCAGGATCGCTAAATTGATTCCGTAGCAGCTTTTTTGCATGGACAACACCATAAACAGAAATATTTGACATCAAAACATCATTCTCCACTCTGGTGAATCATATTTATTATTTTTCACTTTCATCACTGCACGACTATCAACACATGCCAACTCAAAAAATGACTCATGAAGCAATGTTTCACTAATTTTTTGTTAAAATGTTAGTAACTAAATGCCAAACAACATGGCAACTTTTAATGTTGACATTAGGCTTGGTGATGATCACAGACTTAGTAAAGTGTTGAGTGTATTGATGAGGAGAAACTTAACAGAAATTTCTTTCCATGTGCAAAAAATAGATTTTGTAAATGAGTTATGGGACAAAAGATTAAATTTATAATTGTTTGAATTAATAATAACTGATTTGTTGTTCAGATAACCTTAAGTATATGTGGGAATTTATCTATTTGGAATTCAGATAAGCCTTAAGCATATGCATGATATAGAACTAATGTAATTCTGGCCTAACTTCCTCAGTGTGTGATAGAAGCAAGAGAAGATTTACCGAGCACATCTAGGCCCCAATCTCATGATACATCGACTAACTAACTGATAGTGTATGTGGATGCTAGTTAAGCTTTATGATAGCCATTGAATCTGAAGGTCTTCAGATATTGTAAATAAAAGATGCAGTTTTCAAGTTAATGGAATTTGTGAAAAAAATGTGGAGAAATGATATGACAGAAGTTTCTCATCATGATGACAATGCCCCAATCATTAAACAATTAGCAGATGGCGAAATCTGCTGTACTTTTCTAAATCCAGAAAACAGTAGTGAGATAGTAAAGAAAAAGAGAGGAAGTTGAGAATGAAAATATTTCAATTCACAGTGGGAATTTCCAACCCAGCAATTACAGGAAATGAACAAGGAACTTTTCAATTGAACAAGAATTCATGAGTATCAGTAAAATTATAATGAAAGTATTAGTACAAAAAACAAAGCATCTTAAACATCTTACACTGAAAAAATATTTAATATAGCAAACAAATAAATATTGAGCTTTTTCTTGTACATTCCATTATATCAAAAACTCCTCTTTCATATTTTTAATACTAGATTTAAAATTATGACTGGCAGGCTGGCTGAAGGTCGCTTTTCATTGTTCATGTGTATAAGAAAGCATTCATAGCTGTAAACATTTCTTAAAATTTATTTTCCACTTTATTTTTCTGTGTGCACAAAGTTTTACAAAACCTTCAATTTTATATTTTAACAAAGATATGCTACAACATACCCTTAAAGTGACATGATTACATCATTCAATAGCTAAAAAAGGGCAAGATAAAAAATACAGTTTTAAAAAGCACTGTTCCTTGTGATTTTTTCTTAATTGGATTTCTGTTCAGTTAAGAATTTATTGGCTTAAGCTTTCAGCTGTAATCATCAGCATAAACTTCATCCTCTTGAGAACCACTGGTACATCTGCAGGTTAAAATAAAATCTGGTAATCACAATTTATATATTTCAAAAGTTTGAATAAAAAGTGACTGTCAGGCTCACCTTTTTATGAAATTTAGGTACTCTTCTGTTATCATGACCAGATTCAGAAATGTATGTATATATGCTCATGTACGTATATCATTATTATCATTATTTATACATTCCAACACTAAGGCACTGTATGGAAGGAAGGGGTGCCTTTGTGGAGGACTCTCTAAGAGAAACTTGCTCATATTAACATTTTACACATGGGAAAACCACAAAACACCCATGCAGTCAGCCCATTCATGGGATTCAGCTATGGGATTCAGACCGAACTACCAGTGTCTTTACCACTCAGCACCTGGTGGGCCTCATGTATATGTACGTGTGTGCGCATGCACACACATATATATAAGTATGTACATATACACATGCATTTATGAATGCATACATCCACATATACATAAATTTCTGAATACGATCCTGACAATAGAAGAGTAATTGCAAAATTTACGATTGCCTAACATTACAAAATGCAGCGTTTAAATAGTGATATTTTCTTGGTTAATAGCACTCCTTTGTGGATCACACAATGAGTAAAAATGATAAGCTAGGGTGGGGCAAGGAGGGACATCTGTCCCAGGGCACAGTATCCAAGGGGTGCCAAATTGATATGATGAAATTGCAGAATGAAATGCTTTCCATTCTTTTCACACAGAAAAGGGTGCAAAATCTTCAGTTGTCCCTGGGCACTGAAAACCCTAGCTGCATCTCTGAATTTAACATTCTCACCCATCATTGTCTGACACCATCTACGCAGACACCAAAACAACTAGTCCATTGCAAACTCTCATTTGTGAAAAATTTATCAGCTTCAACAAATGCCTTCCCTTCTTGTGCATGCTTCCAATGGATGGCAAAACAATAATTCTTACTTCATATATACATCTTAAATAAACAGGCTATTTTGCCTAGTTAGAAATATTAGTTATCTCATCTGAGTAATTTTGAGTAAGTAGTTATTAACTTTGAGCTGTTCATAAGCCTAATAACAAGCTACTACATCTGATCAACACTAATTTCAAAAATTCTTCTGGAAACAGTATCATTCCTTAAAGGAATTTTACTAATTTTTATCACCCCATTTTTTCTAGGAATTATCATTAAGATTTTTATTGCAGTAGGGCAAAAAAAATCTTCAGTCAGTATTTTTCTATTATTATTATCCACATCCTTGGATTCAAAATTAAAGTACAAAGTCTGAAATCCGGACGCCCAATATACAACGTAATTCAATATCTGGACGACCAGCCAAAAAAAAAAAATAAAATAAAATAAACAAAATAAAATAATATAAAAAATCCCCCCCCTCTCCTTCTAAAGTCTAAGAATGGAGAATATAATACTTAACAAAAACAGGTGAATCATAAATGCAGTTTTTCTCCCGAATAAAATTCCTGTCACATTCAGATACCTCTTTACTAGGAAAGTGCCACTTGGCCAAAACAATACGCTGAATGACACTGTATTGGTGTTGGGCAGGATTACACTTTTATCCTTGAGTGGTTGTGGGGAGTGAGTATTTTTTTATCTCAACTAAACAATAAGTGAAGCTTTATGTTGCCATGTCTACATGTCATCTTACTAGATTTAAACTAATGATCTAAAACTCGGAATCACCAACAATTTCAGATCTCATATTTTGTACTGCATCTTTTAAGATGCAATCATTTTGTAGCTGGTATCAGAAACTTACACTTGACTGTCATTTAAATTTGGTAGCAATAATGATTATAGAAACTTAATCCAATAACTTAAATGTTATGTTTATTGAATGTACATAATCCATCAAGAATAATGATATGGTAGCTTTCTGTTAACCGGACATAACACCAAACACCACAAAATCTAACCAGATGGCGGTAACCCTAATGATAGGTAAAACTTCATGGAAGGGAAGAACTTATAATAATAGTAATGAGTCATA